TGCGCTGCCCCTTGGGGCAAAGGGGAGGCTGTAGGGGCAGCCAGGGGGAGGTGCAGAGGAGGTGGCCCCATGCTCCTGTGCTCCTTGACTCCGGTGGCCTGAGCATATTGCACGTGAAAGCCAGGGACTCACCTGCCTTGGTGTTAATCATCGTGTTTCTTTTCAGCATGCTGTTCCCACAAGGAACATTGACATGGCTTTGTTTCCAAATCATCTGAAAGAAGTAACTGCTGCATATGTTTTTCCCCTCTTGTTTTATTTTAATCTTTTTTCCCACCCGCAGTCGATTTTGGTGTGAGCGCTCAGCTGGACAGGACAGTTGGCCGGAGAAACACTTTCATTGGAACTCCATACTGGATGGCTCCCGAAGTTATTGCCTGTGATGAGAATCCAGATGCTACGTATGATTACAGAGTAAGAGTCCTGTTTGCAGAGTAAAACAAATTACACTTACAGTATGAAGGCCTGAGGATGGTGGCAGGTTTTCAGAGTTCTCATCCCTTGTAAGAATTAATTCATTTTGTACAGATACATTCTTGTGCAGGAGGACAGGCTAAGGGTCAGTGCCAGATTTTGACCTTTCACACTACTTGAGTTGTCATGGCCTCTGGGCATAAGGAGGAGCAGTTCAGTGTGCTGTTAAGCACTCAGAAAAGATGCCCCAAAGAAAAAAAGAGTTTTGTTTGGAAATGCTGATGTTCTGAATTTGTATGAAGTTTGTACTTTAAATTGTGTTTGAGTATGTCCTAGTTATTGCACTAATTCAGAACAATACATTTTAGGTGTTGCCTTAAATAGAACTGCTGTCTGGTGAGTTAGTGAAGCACAGAAGGAACTGTTCATGCTGTGCCTGTTCCTGATGTTGAGACACTGTGTAAATGTTGATAAATAGTTTGCTACAAACCAAAGACCTAATTATGGCAAAATCATAATTGGCTTGATAGTATTTGCAGTACCCCGAGAATAATGCACATATATACACATATATATGTTTAAGGCTATATTTCTCTAATAAGAGCATTCTGAAACCTGCCAAGTGCTTATTAACTTGCTTGTGTGAAAGCACAAAGGAGGAAAAAATGTAAAAACGTGCTTTATAAAATCCTCAGTTCAAGTAATGCAACTAGTCCAACTTTTACCCAGGCAAGGCAGTGAGGATATCAGAAAACCTCTGATTAAGCCGTTACCATGAGCGCAGTGTGCACTCGTGGTAATAGTGATGTTTGCCATGAGTATGTTTGTGTAGGTCTAAATTGCCAGGTGATTGGAATTGGTGTTTTTCCACTTTTGGCTAAGACTGAGCCTGTTTCTCTAGATTTAATGGTGTTTTACATGCTGATGCTCGTTTTAAACCTTTGCAAGGTGGAGTTATTAAGGATTGGAGACTTAGAAAAAAGAACTTCATTATATTTGTTAATGCAGTAGAAAAATTCTTTCTGTTTTTTGTTTCTGGGGAACCTATAGGGATTTGAAGTAGTTGTCCTTTTCTGCATCCTTTAGCAAACTCATGCTTCAAAGCTTCTTAAGACCATGAGGCCATGCAGTTTATCTTACACAAATGGACTGGACCCAGAGAAATTGTTGCCCTGCTGCATCTGAAAATGCAGATGGCAAGCCAGTAGAAATGCTTCCCTGCTCCTAGGGCAGAAAGCTGGCTACTCAGTAGCGTTCACTTTTTAATCGTTATCCTCGTTAGCCTGGCAGAGAGGAACGCTGCTTCTCTCAAGAGCAGTTACCTTTTCTCCTCCGACTGGCCGTGCTCCTCCGAGCAGCCTCCCGCCAGCACTTCCCCCGAGGCTGTGGGAGCCTCTGGGTTTTGCTCCTCGCTTGCCTGGCTGTCCTTGAGCAGCGAGTGCAGCTGGCTGACAGGCAGGGGCTGGCTCTAGAGGCAGAGCCTTGAGGGGCTTCCACAGAAGCGTTCTTGTTTTGCAGTATCTCAAGCAAAGCTGAGGTGGTGGGGAGGGAGCATTTGCTTTGGCTACAAGTGTCATGCAAAACAGAGTCTTCTTACAAGTTTAGCAGTGATGGTTATTTCCCTATAAAAACCTGTTATTTGATTTTTGGGGAATAGAAAATATTGGCAGTGTAGTCCACAAATTTGTGTTCCTCTATATTTACTGGTCTAGGCCCTGAAAAAGGCATGGTATACTTCTGTGTGTGTGTGCATATGCATTTGTCTGTATACGTATGACATGTGAGGCATCGTTTTCTGTTAATGTTAGAAGAAAAAGTAGCTTACACAGTGTAAATAGCCATGGCATTTGGTTTCAGTCTCACCCGCAGGGCCCCTGCAAATACTGCTTTACTGCCCAAGTCGGGTAGGTACTTACTAACATATGGTCTCTGTCTCTCTTTGTGCAGAGTGACCTTTGGTCGTGCGGCATCACGGCCATTGAGATGGCAGAAGGAGCTCCCCGTAAGTGACACGTCTGCTTTCCCAGCGGGCTCATCAAGGCCGAAACATATACTTAAGAGATGCTGGTTGTAATCTAAGCCTAGCTTTGAGGTTTCTGGAAGTGCCCTCTTGTTATTTCTGTTCTCTTTGGGTTTGCCTGCGCTATAAATATAAAATCCCATAAATAGCAATGCTTTTGATAGAGATAAGATAGCATTTAAGCATTACTATGCAGTAATTTAATTTTGCTGGGCTGAATTTAGAAGCTAATAGAGCTGTAAACATCCTTCCTATAAATATGCTGTGGTTTGGACTTGCGTCCCAGTTTGTCTATGGCCTGTCTGAGACGTTTACACCTCAACTGGGGAGGGGGGCAGCAGGGTATCTGGGAAATAGACCTTCATGAAAAATGCTCCTGTAGCACTCTTTGCTGTGCTGATTTTCCAGGACTCTGTGTAATGGTCACGTTACCACTCCTTTTGTTTCAACTCATCATGGCGGGGGTGTTGGCTTTCCTCAGGAATGATGTGACTTAAACTGGAAATCCATCTTCAGCGCAGAGTATTGAGCTTAGTGGCTCCTAGTTGACAATATTCACAATGTTTTTGAGAGAAACCTGAAAAGCAAAAACATGGAACTGCATATCTTTTTCTTCCCCTCACATGCTTGTTCCTTCTGAATAATGAAGCTTAGGGATGATATTTTTGAGGAGGAAACGAGGACTTATAAAGAAGATAAACAGAAATGATCCTTTTTCTTAATGTTAGTGAAAATCCTTCATTAGTACACAGGCAAATGTAATTCCCCCATCCCCTGAACAGCCTGAGCTACCTCAGAGTAGGTTAGTTAATGCATTTTCTTGCACGTGAGCAAAATAATCCCCTCAACTGAAAAGCCCATCTGGAAAACACTCTTTGAAATTGTCAAATTCAGAATGAAATATTGACTTCTTCCTGGCTAGAAAATGGGCGTTTCATTGTAGCCTCTGGCTGCTTTTGCTAGTTTGTTTTTAAGTGCAAAAGTTTTAAAATGAAGCACAATGTTTGAATTCATTTTTAGAAGGTTGGATGGTTTGATTTTTTATTTTCACATTTTTTCCCCTCTCCTTCCTAATTTCACATTTGCCCAAACACCCAGATGAGAGCTGCTCCCCGGGCGCCTCACCTAGCACTATATTAACAGTATTTGAGCTACCACTTGGCCTCCTTTCGGTCTTACTTTCCCTGATCAGAACATTGTTCTGCTGGGCTGGCTCCCAATTAAAAGCTGCCTCACAGGGGTTTGCAGGCCTGGAATGGGACAGTCGCATTTTTTCCTTTGCAAATGGAAGCAGAGGTTCTGGCTTGGCCTCTCCTAGTGTCCAAATCACGGGAGCAGCGTCCAGGAAGCAAGCAGAGATTCACTGCACATGCTAAATTGCTCTCACCTTTTCATACAGACCCTTTTTAATGCAGAGCCTTCACTGGTGTAAACCCAGCAGGTCTTGGAATAAAGAAAAGCTCCCCGAGTTTTCGAGAGTGGAAGTGAGGAGGTGTCCTGCTCCATAGGAGGGCAGGTGGAGTGAATGAATTTGTATGAGATGGTGGCTGTGTCATTTTTCCCACCTGCCATGATCTTTTCTGGGCATCATCTTAACCAAAACATAAGCTGGATGATTTGCAGGGGGAGGAGGGCTGTGCACAAACGTTCCCACCATGGCTGATTCCGTAGCCTAACCTGTGCTGTGACTTCTTTCTCATCTGGGGCCTCACTTCCCACACGGAGCTGTGGAATTGCTGTCATTTCATTTAATCAGTTACATTCCTAGCTGTATGTGCTCTGTAAGGGGTTGGGTTTGCCAGAGATGCTTGTGGCAGCTGAGTCTTGAGAAGACAGAGCGCAACGAAGCCAATGTCTGTTTGTTTCTGTTTGGTTTTGTCTTCTCTCCTTCAGCACTTTGTGACATGCATCCCATGAGAGCGCTCTTTCTGATACCCAGAAATCCTCCCCCGCGGTTAAAATCCAAGAAATGGTATGTAATACTTGCTGCTTTCTAACCCTTTTTGTATCACGATGCTTTCTTGCATTGCACAGCGTGCTGCTTCGGTGCTGCTGCCGCACAGCTGCAAAGTGGTTGAAGTTGGCTAAAATCAATCTGTTGTTGTCTTCCGTGCCATTGAATCGAGGCATAAAATAAAAAGTGCGCATTGATTATTTTAGTTCTCTTTACCCCAGAGAAATTTTATCTTTGAATCCTAGGAATATAAAAAAACAAGATTTTTTTCCTTGGCAGAACAGCATTAAGGCAACAAATAGTACCATATTTTTAAAAAATAAACTCCTGCAGCATTCTTAGTATGCAGATTTTTTTCGTCAGATGTAGCATAATAAAGAAACAGAACAGTACTGTAGTGTTCTAGTTGTTAAGTTGAAAGGAGCTATTAAAACTAATGAAGGCTTTTACTATAATTATTGTAAATGATTGAAATTGAGTGTGCACTTCTTGCCAGCTGAGAAGAATCCATTAGTATCTGAGGGTTTCCTCTCCGTTACTGGTTACGACTGGCGGGTATGAAACAGAACTATTTCCTAGAAAGAGGTTTCACATGAATTGATTGTGATCGCAGGATGCTGTGAACCTGTCAAAATAATGAAGTGAAGTGACTGCTTATTCAGTATCAACATAATAGAAGTTGTGGCTTCCTGATGGGCTTGGTGCTTGCCTGGATTGGCCTATTTATGCATGGGTATCTATCGGGGCATCATTTTCCTTCTCTCATACTTGCTTTCTGCATATATTAAGGGACAGAGTTGCATGTATAGTATTTGCATGTGCCTTTCTTGCATCTTTTTTCTTGGAAGCATAACATTCGGTATGGGGAGCAACAGGAATAACAGAAAATGGCAAGGCTACCTTGAATTCAACTTTTTAGGTTTCAGTAAGAAAATGAAGCAGCAGGTGAAAACCACTTTGTTTTTTCCTCCACACTTCCCCATTCAGTGGTGGTGGTGCCACCCAAGCATGGCAACAACTGGAGGGCACCAGAAAGGGAATGTGGCCAAAGCCAAGGCCGCTGCTTCAGCCATGTTCACTGAGGGAAGGCTTTGTGAGGAAATAGGCCTAGGGAAGCAAAATGCGGTTCTGAGGATTTGCAGTGCTGGTGTGCTGCTCATTGAACGGTTTTCCTCTGGGCAGTCTGCACTAAGGGCTCAGACAGCGCGAGGGTAGCGAGGAGCCACCTCGGATGTGCTGTGAGCGCTGCTGCGCGCGGCCCGGCCCAGCCCGGCCTGCTGGTGCTGGGCAGCGTGTGGCCCCAGGGCCTGCGTGAGGCACAGGCCCCGCGCGGTGCCGGGCAGTGTGTGGCCCCAGGGCCTGCGTGAGGCACAGGCCCCGCGCGGTGCCGGGCAGGGTGTGGCCCCGGGCCCTGGGTGGGGCACAGGCCCCCTCAGGGACACGGCCCAGAGCCCACGAGGTGCCGGGCAGCGTGTGGCCCCAGGGCCTGCGTGAGGCACAGGGCCCAAGGAGTGCCTGCGCGGGGTCCTGCGAGGACCCGTGTGTAGCATCCCAGGTCAAAATGGAAACTGCCGTCAGTTGACGCCAGGCGCTCTCGCTGCAGCTGGGCGACGCGGCGTGGCTTGCGTTTGCCTGAAGCTGCCGGCCATCCCCGCGGCTTTCCCACTGCCCTTCCCACGGGAGAGCTGCTCTCTCCTGGCCGGGGCAGGCGGAGACGTGCCCGAGCTGCCTGCCCGTGCTCCGAGCATGCGGGATGCGAGCCGGCAGCAGCGGAGCGGGAGCGGAGCCGGCCTCGTTCGCTGGCCCACTCTTCCCAGCAGTGCTCGGAGCGCTTCTGGGGCACGCTGCTCTTGGAGGAAGGGAGTTAAGCTTTGAACAAACGTTGGAGCTGTGATTTTGTTTTGCTTTCCCCTGCCCACTTTCTCAGGTCGAAAAAGTTCTTCAGCTTTATAGAAGGTTGTCTAGTGAAGAATTATATGCAGCGACCTTCTACGGAGCAGCTTCTGAAGCACCCGTTCATACGTGACCAACCAAATGAAAGGCAAGTCCGAATCCAGCTCAAGGACCATATAGACAGGACCAGAAAGAAGAGAGGAGAGAAAGGTACGCAGCTTCTGAAAGCCTTTTGGCTTACTAAAAATCCACGTACTTCTGTCCTGCTCTGTGTTCCACATCACCTCCCCACAAAAACAAACTAACAGAGTGCTCAAACCCTTAAAGTTTCTTTTTTAATTCATATTTTGACTATCAGCAGGCTTCTATGTTTTGTTCTTTCTGCACAGGATATCTGAATTGCAAGTATCTTATTTTCAGATCAGATTACTCTTTTCTAGGCCACTACATCTTCCAGGCAACCATTAAGCCGTGTTTAGGAGGATATTGGCATATCCCTCCTTTCTTTTTCTTGCCTTGTGGTAGGTTCTTTCCTGGAATGATGCCATCAATTAGGCTCACACACAGAAATGACCCGTCACGAGAGCTATGGAGCGAATGTCTTGGGCAGCCTGGACTCTCTATTCAAGTGGCCTGGAGGTTTTCCAAGCAGCCCCTTGTTGTAGACTGAAAATGTGGCGTCATTCAGGGATCTTGCTGAAAGTCTGCTGGTCTGCATTGTGTTGCATTATGTATCTGGGAAAGTGTGCCGGGATACACAGGATAAGCACTAGGGTCTGAGGGGAATCTGGGAAGTGGTTGATGAAGGTGCCAGTGCAAGTTCTGTGTCCTGAAATGTGGAGATAAGCACTGCTCAGGCCACTGTTTCTCTCCTGCTAGATGAGACGGAGTATGAATACAGTGGAAGTGAGGAAGAGGAGGAGGAAGTGCCTGAACAAGAAGGAGAGCCGAGGTAAGAACTGCTGGTTGGAGTGCCCTGGGCAGTCCACATCAGCAAATCTAAAAATCTGTGCTTGTAAATCAGGAGCATCCTCAATTTCTGTACCTACCGAAGTGTGGCATTACCCGCACAAAGCCTACCACCCAGAGGGTCTCCGTGCCTATTCTGTGGCTGCTAAAGGTTTTAAAGCTTCCCCTCTCATGGCTTAGTGCCCAGAGAGTCCTGGATGAAGGAAAATTTGCGGAGAAAATGTGACTGGACAGTGGGTTCTGGTCGGGGCCCCAGAATGTCCGAGTTGGTCCTTACTTTGCTTGACTTCCTTTCATACCTTCCACTGAGAGCCCCTATTTGATATGCATCCAGTGTCTTCATTCTGAAAGAAACGAAATTTAAAGAAACAGTGAATTTTATTAATGTACCTCCTGCTTTGTGGGGTGGGGAAAGCGTACTTAATGGCCTGCAAGGCTTTGTTGTAAAGGAAGCTTTAATTTCCTCTTGTTGCAGTTCCATTGTCAATGTGCCTGGAGAATCAACCCTCCGACGCGATTTCCTGCGGCTGCAGCAGGAAAACAAGGAGCGGTCGGAGGCGCTTCGGAGACAGCAGCTGCTGCAGGAGCAGCAGCTCCGCGAGCAGGAGGAGTACAAGAGGCAGCTGCTGGCGGAGCGGCAGAAGCGCATCGAGCAGCAGAAGGAGCAGAGGAGACGGCTAGAAGAGGTAGAAGCAAAAAGGCTGCAGCTCAGGAGGCAGCAGCCCCTGTTCCACTCATTTGGGTTGTGTTTTGTTTTTCCCCTATTCCCACACTCATGTGAAAAGAGTTCCCTGTAGTCCAAGCACATCTCGGGGAAGAAAACAACACGTACGACTCCCTTGGCAAACGTAAAGCAAAGCACTTAAATCTGTGTCTGGCTACTTAAATATGAGCAGTCTCCTACAGCACTGAGTATCCAGCAGCTTCTGCGGAGTCAGTGGCAGCCAAGGCCTGCTTGTTTGAAGGCACAGGGGGAGGCCGTGTCTTGGTCCCTCTTCAAAAGAAGAGGCAACAAGTCTAGACTTTTGGGTAGCTGTACAGAAGGGGAGACATTAATTATTCCCACATGATTTTTTTAAAGTGGGCAATACCCCAAGATGACTTTTTTTGGGCCCATTATGTGCCTAGAATTTCACTTTAAAGCTTTCACAAACATCTGCGTTTGGCACTCGATCATGGTAGGTGAAAGCCTATTTTTTGATGTATTACTCTTTCATCCATAGTAGCCCGATGAATAACCTTCCCCCTAGATTTATAGATAAGAAATACAATTACGATTTGTACATCTGTGAAAAAATATAGTTATGTAAGATTTATAAAAGTGCACGATACTTCTGTGATATGGTAAATGTGCAGTTTGCATACACCACCTGAAGGATTTTTTTTAAAAAAAAGTAAACGTACATGCACAATATCGCTTTGCCCTAGTTTCCGTATGATCTTGTACGTGTTTAGGTAAATATACATGGAAAATTCAGTGCAAGTTTCAAGGGTAGAAAGATTTCAAAACAGTTTTGCAGGCCAGAACTGGATGCTAGAGCTAAAGTGAAACCGATCATCAAGCTCTACAGGAAGCACAGGGTCAAATTCCAGTTGTCCTTAAATAACCTCTGTTGTTGGAGTTGCTGTTTCAACTGTTTGCTTGGCAATAGTGGAAAAAATACGCCCATCCTGGTTTTCCAAACGTTTAGCAAGGACCCGATGAGGACCAAATGTTGATTTGCATCCCAATGTGAAACCTCACATGACGTGTTTGCGTAACAGCTAGTGCAAACAGCTCCGGATGGCCTTTTGCCCCATATTCTGGTCCTTTTGCTCCATATTCTGGTCCTTTTCAGTACGCAAGCACATTTAGTGCCGCTGGAAGAACCGGTAGCGACAGCTCCACCACACATGGAGCGGGAGATGGGACAAGGGGGAGGCTGCAAACTCCATCACGCTTGGGTTTCTTCCCCACCCTTGTGCGGCTGCCAAGACAAACATCGTTGCTCCTCCAGCTGCTCTGCCTGTTTTTAGGCTCTGGCGCGGCAGCAGTTTGGGGGGGCGGAAGGAAGGTGACAACACGAGGCGAGGCAAAGTTAACACGGGACAAGAGGAAAGCAATTTTTTTTTAGTGTTATGAAAGGCAAGCACAAGTCGTCCTTTAGCCTCTAAAATTTTGCTTGATGAAGGAGTCAATGAGTTTTACTGAATGCCTGTGTGATCGCTAAGGTTCCTCAGAGGGATTTTTTTTTGGCATGGAAGGGGATTAAATTATCTATCATCTAGTTTGTTTATCTTCAGTGATCAATGAATCACTTAAAATTCTGGAATTTCTATCTAAAACAAAGGAGATACTGCTGTTAATAATGGCAATAAAAAATGCATCTCTTTGCCGAGGGTTGAAAATCAGCTTTTTGGAATGTGGCAGAAATCATAACCTAATGAGCAATTAAAAAGCGAGCACAGTTACCTGCAAGTTTAATCCATCCTGCTGCCTCTGTAAATTCAAATCGAAACAACAGCTTTAGCAACCACAAGGCAGTGCCTGCTGTTGCTTCATGATTTAGTGACTAAAGCTACACAGCAAAGCTGTAAGGTTTGAAAGAGAAAACCTTTTGTCTCTTCTTGAACCTATAACCCCTGCCTGGTTCCCACAGAGATGGTGATATGGCTGATGAGCTATCAGGTTTCCCTTCTGCAAGTCTGGGGGAATGTTCTTCTTAAAGGAGATTATATTTAAAAAAAAAAAAAAAAGAAAGAAAAAACACAGTGCCTCACCTCAAGCACTTAATCACATTTAGTCCATTGGATCTTCCATTGGAAAAATGTATGATCCCGAGTGATTCTCCCTGAACACCTGCCATGGCAAACTCCCTTGGAGGGGGGAAGGGTGAGAGACTGTGTTCAGATAACATCAGAGTTGGGACACAGCTGCAGGCCACAACACTGAAACATTGTCACCTTGTCCTTGACTCACCCCCTGCGCTGATGAAGGCAGCAAACACGGAAAACTGGGTGACAGGGGCGAGATTAGCATCAGACTCTGCGTCTCTGGCCTCCCATCTGTCTGGTGAGACTTTCACCAGGTGTGGCTCTCTCCTGATACCCGGTTTTGTGGAGTTAAGTGTGTAGTTTGATAAATGTGTTTGACATGCTTTGAGAAGAATTCTTTGCATTAGATAATCTCCCTGCACAACTTGCTTATCCCCCCTTCCTCCCTCCTCACTTCTGCCCCTTCCTAAATTAAAATCGAGGGCTTGTTCTTACAATGCTGGCACAGAGCCCAGACAGTTTTGACTGAGACTGCTACAGGAACGGTGTTTAGGACAGCTGCCAAAAACTGTAATTCTCAGCAGTATTAGAGAAGAGATTGCTGTTTTTTTTCTTCTTTTTTAAACACATGTAGGTGACTATCAAAGGCTGTTGTTGCAGGGACCTTATAATTTTTGTGTTACTTAAGAGACAGAAATCATACGTGGTCAAAGTGCAGAAAATCATCTGAAACCCTCTGGAGGGGGGTTGTTCCTGCTTCCCCTCCTTTCTTTTTTGAATGAGAGTAAAGGTTAACTGCATAAGTATCAGCTGTATGACTTTAAGTGCTCCAGATGGTTAAAACAAGAAATCAGAGCTGTTGTACGCTGTTCTAATGTGTTTCTGTTCAGCAAAAGGCAGATGCTGGTGCTCAGTGTGACAGGTATAGAAAGGCAAAGGGCATTTGCAAAAATCAGTGTGGTTTGGCAAATTCCAAATTAGCTGTGGGTGCATCCCAATCTGTGTGGCCCTCCTTGATTCTGGGTAATTGGCTTCAATGCTGTCCCTCTTCCTGGTTAGAGGAGCCTAAGGTGGATGTTTCTGAAGTGGTAGGGATAGACGTCCCTCGGCAAGGAGTGGGGCCCAGCAGAAACGGCTCTGTGGGCCACGAGTAATTGAGGTGCTGAAGACCCAAACACTTCCGTGCCCCTGTCTGAAGGCAGGAGGAGCTGCTTGGCAGCAGCTGTGCTCTAGACGGTGCGCCTGCTCTGGCTGCAGAGCATCTGCCTTCTTAGTGTCATCCCCAAGGAGTGGTTGGCACTCACAGCTGCTTCAGAATATGGAACAAAACCTGCTAAGTGGAGATGATGGGATGACTCGCATCAAAAGAGCATTCCTGATCTGAGCTGAGGTGCTAATGCAGATGTGCCCACAGGTGCTACTTGCCAGGATTTTGCTTCTTTTAGACAGGGTGATTACTTGTGCCTGTTTCATTTGCATTGCCTGCAGGATTAGGTAAGAAGTACTGAGGAAGAAGTTCTACTTCTGTCTTCTCTCTAGTATGGACAAATGAAAAAAAACCCTCCTTGTATCAGTCTTTCTAGTCCACCTCCTAAAACAATAGCAGGGGCTGCCTAATTCTTCATGGAAGAATCCTGGCTATACCTGTGCATCAGCCTCCTTCTGAATATAGGACGAAGTAATAGTCTTTTATGAATATGAAATTAGAAAGTCTGAATTCATCTGTTGCAATTTACTGTGTGAACTAGGTCCGTCCTCGGGCTGTCCGTGTACACCAAGCGCGTGTGTAGTTGCATTGCCCCCTCCTGGTAAATGGTGCTTCACTGCGTGGCCTTCCGTTGGGAGATGTCAAAGTGCCATCACGAGATCATCATTAAGGCAACTCGAAGTCAGATAAGGAACCAGAACACTTATGCTCTTTTTTTTTTTAATGTAATAATGTTTTGTGAAATACAGAAATTTGAATAATTTGAAGAAGGTGCCTTGTGTTTCACCCACCGGCCCAGGTGGCTGAGCTGGTTTCTGGCGGGCAGGTAGGAGTGGTGCAGAGAGAGCCCCTCTCTCCGTGTGCGTTGGTGTGTGCATGGGAGCACAGTTGTGCTTTGGATATTGTACTTAAATGCTCACTGGTGGCAGAGAAGCTTTCTCCTCCTCCTCTGTTCATGATAGGTATTAGTAAAGACCTATTGTAGGTGCTGGGCTAGCAGTCTTGTTCAGTGTTTGCTTAAAAATCTCTTCTTTTAAAGTGGAATGGGATTTGATTATTTCATGAAGTCATGGGGGATCAGCCCTCGTAGTCGATTAGAAACTTCTTTTTATCTCAGAAAGTTATTTGTAATTACTGCTTAAAAATTCTCCATTGACTCAAATGGCGATGATTTTGTTTCTTCAGATGACCCAAAGACCCAAAGATCTTCCTTGAAATGAGACTGACGCCATCCCAAGATTTGCAATATATCCACTTAACAATGTCAACAAAATTTGTTAGACAGACAGGCTTCATATGTTTAGGAAGTGTTTGTTTTGCTAAGTGTGCATATAAAGCAGTCAGCAGCGTGTTCTCTTGCATCCTCAGGGCAGCAGAATTATTGTACTTCACATCTTAGTTTTCTTAAATAAAGAACCTGTCAGACTTGATTAGCCAAGAGGCACCTGAATATATTGACTTAAATGTAGAAGTTGTTTGACACAGATGTGCATATTCAGAAATAAAAGTGCCTGCTTAATCCTTTTAAAGTGCTTAAAAAATAAAAAAGGGAAGCAGCGAAACCTATGAAATCCACTGTGTTCCACAGCTGCCTTGGAGCACTTTTACTATTTTTATATCTCCATGTGTTGAAGAGCAGTTTTTTAAATGAGAGAGAAAAACCTAGTAAATGTATTTGGTTAGGAGAGGAGATGCAAGAGCATGAAGACTTTGTTTCCAAGAACAGACAGAAAACACGGTGGGAGAAAAGACCTTGTGGCATAGAAAGCTGGCAATGAACCCAGGATGATTCTACAGAGAAGGAAGAGCAATGTTATATTTGCAAAGTGGGTCTACTTAAAAAGTAGTCTTCAAGAAAGGTGCATTTTTTCACAAAAGTGCAATTAGTTAGGAGACCAGAGAAGCATCCCCTTCTTATTAAGTATTACCAATTCTTATCATGTGTTACCCACATTTCTTTCAGCGCTTGTACCCCAATTTGGAGTAGGATTTCAGGAGACAGAGAAAGCTATTGAACTTTTAGTTGCTTCACAGGGTAATGTACTGAGCAAAGAAAGCTCATCGCATGAGGAAACAGTGTGTCTTAGCATTGGCAAATTACTGGCAGCACCAAAAAATGAGAATTTTGAGAATTTCATTCACCTAAATGTGAAAAAGAAAACCAATATAGTTCTTTATTGTGCTCTTTTTTATATATCGGATATAAATTGACAGTGCTTTTTTGTCTACGTTTCTTTTATGATTTTCAGCATATTACAGAAGTCTATAGTGAAAGTAGATGCTGTAGAGAAATTCCCAGCTGATGGTAGGACAGGAGGCAGCTGCATCTCTTGACACTTAGGGAGCTGTGGGAGGCTGCCCGGGATTTTGGTGTAGCTGGAGTAACTGGAAGCTTCTGCAGAAGTGCAGGAAGCGTTGGTCACAGCTGTATGGACACCTAAAACGTCTGCTTTTGATTTCAAAAATACTTTCCAGAGCTTTTTTCCAGGTTCTTTTCAGGCTCAGGACCCCAACACCAGTTAACATTTGGATCATGCATGGCAGCTTATCTGTGTAACCATAGAAGCTTAGCTCAGCTCTTCTTGTTCTAAATGCAGGTGCTTTTGATGTTCTGGGAGGGGCAGAGGTGCTCTTGGTCAGCCTTCCTTCTCTGCTAGGCAAGGCTTGGGGCAGGACAGTAAATCCAGCTGTATTGTTGTCCCAACACCACCAAATTCTTAGCAGACCATGGACTCTGTTAAGAGTGAAGGTACTTACCAAGAACTCAGATGGTTGCCATTTGAGTGTTAGCTGATTCTATGGGGCTAATCATTTCCCTTTGGCAACGTTTGTGACTTCAGTGTGTTGAAGACAAGAAGATAGTCAGTTTGCTTAGTTCCCAAGTTCAATAGTTCTTAAAAGACTGAGATTTCAGCTTGAACCACCTTGTGGTTTTGATGAGCTGCATGCGAGTTTCCACACCTCAGGTGCCAAAAAGGTGATACCTGAAAAAGTTGGGTTTGGCGAGGGGCGTGATTCATTGTTGGTTTGTTTGTTTGATGAAGAAATCCAAGAGAAAAAGTGATGCTGCTTTCAGGGATACCCGTGTGGGGGCTACAATTTGTCTCCCCATGGAACACTTGCATAAAGAGCTTTGTGGCTCAGTAGCAGAGCTCGCCAGTCCTGGTAAATCCTTCTCTTCCCAGGAGAAAGCAACCCCACCTCTTTCTTTGATAACCACAACAGAAGTAAAACTTTGTGGTTTCTTCTCCCTTTCTGCAGCAACAAAGAAGAGAACGGGAAGCTCGAAGGCAACAAGAGCGTGAGCAAAGGCGGAGAGAACAGGAAGAGAAAAGACGTCTGGAAGAAATGGAGAGGAGGCGTAAGGAAGAGGAAGAGAGAAGAAGAGCAGAGGAGGAAAAGAGGAGGGTAGAAAGGGAGCAGGTGAGTCCATTATAAAGATATGTGTGCACTAGGTTTGTTTCTTCTAAATTCTGATTTTATTTAAAAAATATTAAGAATGAAAAAGCCTGGAAACAATCTCATGCTGACCCTTTCATCTTTATCTGCGACAGCAAATGCACTAACGTAGACCATAGGGCTTTCTGGAAAATTCTGGCAGCCTCAACTGTCCCTTGAAAAAGAGCTCTTGTTATAATACTTACTCTAAATTCAGCTCGCACCCCTGGGCTTAGCTAAAACTCAACAGAATTGGTGAAATAATCACTGTGCTAAAAACTGATGCTGTGCTTGTCCTGCTGGATGTGCTGCAGTTCTTGTGGGAAATGCCCCCATTCGGGCAGCCTCTGAGAGAAAGGACGCGCTCTTGCGGGTCAGGTTCTGGCACCCCACATTCATCAGAGGCTTATTCATAAACTTTGAATATTTGGAATTTGAAACGGAACCTTTGAGCTGCAGAGAGTTTTCCTTCCTTGAGTTTATACCCCTCTCTCTAACTCTGCCTATCTAAATCTATAATAATGTGTGCCAACTAAGGCAGCTGGAATATGTTAAGTTGCATCAGTGTGCCCTTAAAACGTTGAACGTGCAGGTGAGGACCTTTGGAAACTGTGAAATTCAGCTGCCATATTTGTGCATGAAATCTGCATGTTTTAAAATTCTTTGCGAACTTTAATCAGGGTAATAATTATTGTGCATGTATTGCAAAATTCTGATCCCAAATGAAGGGCCAATTTTTTTTCTCCTAGAGGCTGATTGTAAATTTACCATTAACTTTAGGAATACTGGTTTGGGCCTGGTGTATTTATTTTTTCCTATGTAAAAGACGTAATATTTGAGACCATCATGTTACTAGGGAATTTTTATCGTGTGTGTCTCAAAGATTTTTGGAGTCAAAAGAAGAGATTAACCGTTGGGAAAAGATATATGGAAAATTTACAATTACAGCACAGCAATAGCTTTTGGGCAGACACCGGGTATTCCCCCAGCTGCTGTTTAATCTCTTGAAATGCTAATTACGCACTGTGCCACTAATGACAACTGCTTAATTGATGCGGCCGAACTGAGCCACCGTGAATTCTTTATCCTTTTTGTAAAAGAAAGGAGCGATATGTCCCCTCTCCAAAACTCCTTCCGCTCAAACCGTGGATCAGGCTGCGCAACATGACGACGTAGCGCACAGCACCAGTCTGCCCCGAGGTTTCCTATAGCTGCCATCACTGTGCCATTGGTCTCTCTATGCCCACACTGTGAACGTGAGCGTGCGTGTGCCTGTGTGTGTGCGCATGCACGTGTTACAACACATTGCCATTAATTGCATGGTAGGATGTGACCAGCTTGGGTACGGTGCCTCAGGGCTCCAGTTGTTCCAGGGGGGCAGGTGAAGCAGCAGGCAGACGTCCCGGCCTGCTGAGGACGCAGCGGAGGAGACAGCGAGGTGGCCAGGGCGAGCGAGTTTGGTCCCACATCTGTTTCCTGGTGGATGTCTGTTTGTGCCATACCCATCGCATCACTCAGCCGGGCTGGCAGCGCGTGCTCAGGAGAAGCTTTTTGGCGAGGGCGCAGGGGAGACGGCAGGGCAGGGCCGAGCTGCACTGGCAGAGCCCCCCGGGGAGCTTGCACCAGGTCTGCCTACACTAAGCCTGGCTCTAGCTGTTGCTAACAGTTCATCGCACCAGTGCAACAAACTAATGTTTAATACGACTTGCATGTGACTTTGTGTTGGCTGTGTTGAGTCAGACTTGCTGTGTTTTAACTTCTCCAAAACCTTCAAGTGCATTTTGCTGCTTCTTGAAATCACTCCCAAAATACACGAGCCCACGTCGGCTGCGTTTGCAGGAGTCCCAATTTTGGGCCTGGTGGGCCAAAACACCCGCTGTTGAGGTGACAGGACTTCCTAAATTGTTCTTTAGGCACGAATCAATCCTGAAGTGCATTTCTCGTTAAAACTGAACTGGGGAAGTAGCGTGTGGTGTTCCACCCAGGGGGTTCTGATGCATTCCTTTTGAATAAATTTATTGCTGGGTAATTTCTATGTGACAGGAGTATATCAGGCGACAGCTAGAAGAGGAGCAGCGGCACTTGGAAATTCTACAGCAGCAGCTGCTCCAGGAGCAGGCCATGTTACTGGTAAAGCACTGTATCTGTTTTGTTCAGTAGCTATAGGATCCATTTATCCGGGCAGCCCTGGGCTCCCCGTAGTCGGGCACAGCTGCACAGCAGTATGAACAAGGGAGCGTGATTAAAAGGCCATTCAAGCCAGCGTCGTGGGCTGACAGGCACATACGAGAAGCGCTCTGCGGTCACGCTGCTTTCGGAGCAGTAAGAGGAGGCTTTATGTTAAAGTGGAACAGCTCTGGTTTGGTGGTCGAGTTTCTGAACAGACCTTGGCATTCAGTGCAGAACTAGAGTGCTTGTGTGGCAGATCAAAAGCACACACGATATGTAAATCCACCCCGGGGTACAATGGCCTAGTGTTGCTCTAAGTCACTGCTTTACGAACTTTTACACTGGTTTTAGTATAAATAACTTGTTCCTCATGTAATAAAAATCAGTTAGGACGTAACTCTCCAACCATGTCAAGCTAAGCAGCACCCTCTCCACTTTCCCAACACGAGACACATGCCATTTTGGTCCAACTTAGCTCTCGGTTACACTTTAACAGCCAAATAAGCCAACAACCAAACAGACAGCAGCAGCGAGCAGCACGGTGTGTTTTTGGTGGGATGGCTGGGGGCACGGCCGCCGCGCGGCGGGGACACCCCCTGAGTGGCTGCCGTGCTCTCTCAAAGGAATACAGGTGGCGGGGGATGGAGGAGCACCGGCAGGCGGAGCGGCTCCAGCGAAAGGAATAAGCAAAGCTATCACACACCTGAGCCAAAACCCCACTACGAGCCTGCTGAAAGAGCACGAGAGGTACGTTGTGCGCCCGGAGAGGCGGTCTGCTCCTTACACCCCTGGCTGTAGGTGTCTCTAAGAGGACGGCTCTGTTACAGCCCCATCAGGGGCCAAGGTGTCACTGATAGCAGGCGGGATTCCTGTCAATGTCACTCGTGGGTTGCTGAACCTGAGAGGTACCCCAAACACTTGTGCAAGTGCAGGATTTGTAGGTTTAAAGGGCAGAAAGAAATTCCGCAACCCTGCGGGCTGAGAGGAGCTAATTTTGGAAGCCCTTTGAGCCTGAACGCCTTTTGCTGGGAAGCAATGGTGCAGTCGGTGATTCTGGCAAGTCCTGAGGATTGGAAACTGTGAGGTGATTGGAAAGCACCTGCAAACCTGCAAAAGGTGTTTGCGCACGGCACCTGTTTACAGATGTAACCCGTGTCCTTGGAACTGGTCTTCTCATGAACACAAACATGAATTCCATTCACTTCATTTCTGGGATGTTAAAGGTTCCTTTCTGAGAGCACTCTTACCTACTCTTAGAAAACAGAAAACTCCCTGAGACCTCCACGGGCTGAAGGCTCTCGTCAGAGCGCTGTTTGTCTCAGTGAGTGCTCTGTGGGTACCACTGCTCAGCAGTTGATCATCGCCTCTGTGATGCACAGCTCTGCTCTTTCTGTGGCCTCCTTCTCCAGTTGCCCTTGGGCAAGAGGGGAGCACCGTGTTACCCACAAACCACTCAACTGGCAGTACTGGCCAAAGCTCTTAATGACTTGCATTGCCAGCATGTGGGAACTAGATAAATACATTTTGGAAAAAGAAAAAAACTCCATGGGTTGTTGAGCATGATAAAAGAGTTTTCAATCCACCTTTATCCAATAATTGTTTATAGCTTTTGAAGTATTACTGTTTTGACATGGTAAACACAAACACATTTTCTTATAGATACTATTGTCCTCGTTCTCGTATTTTTGCAGTCTCATCCATTCCTCTTGGGTGAAATGTCTGGTACTTCTCTCTCTTCTGGACAAAGTTCAGACTTGTCCAGCGTTTGCATACCTGGAATGAGCCAGCAGGTCCTTGTTGCAGATTTCTGGCCCATCTCTGTGAAAGCACTCCTGCCCTGTTAGCAGGGTTTCTGAAGGCTGATTTTGAAGAGATGGAGAGCTGTCTCCATTCCTCCTTCTCCATTTGCCTTTCAAAGCTGGAAAGGGGGGAAGCTTCTCAAGGTTTGGTTGTAGCAGAACCACTAACTCAGCTCTTCTCCTTTTCTAAGTGAGCTAGCTAAAAGGAATAAAGTGAAGGCAAAGAAAAATCCTGGTATTAGTCGGATCTTCACAGAAGATCTGCAGTATTTTGCCTTAAAGAATTGTAGTAGAAATATCCAAAATATCTGTTTGGCAGTGGAAATGATGCCAATTAATCTTGAAAGCATTAACACTGATCTAGTTCTTGACCTGAAATAGTAATTGGACTCTCAGGAGGACTGCTGTCCAGAGAAACCCCCCATCTGCCAAGATGCTGGCTATCGTGATGATAGGCCAAAGTGGCTATTTTCTGTAGAACGATTAGGGATTTTTCCCATTCCAGTTGGAAGAGGGGATACCAGAGAAAGGACCTCTAATGCTGGTGATGCTGGTAATGCTTTGTGAAGCAGAAGGAAACTCAGAGCCTCCAGTGACAGGAATAGAGCCTGTTTCTATGCAGTAATGCCCTGGCTATCTATCTCATCTGCTTGTTTTGAGGGAAATGTAGCTGGTGCAGCTGCTGTGCTTTGTGGAGGAAACCTCCTATCATCTACAATCAGAGACATAAAAGCCAGAGACATTCAGACAGACAGAAAGACCTGGAGCTTTTCCTTATTTTATGCATAACAAGAAAACTATTAGGAGGAGTCTGGCCTATTTTAAAACTTTAAAGGGTGACTTTAGGTGGTTGAGAACGGTGGTGAAAATGATTGCATGATGCAGATTCTCACCTCACCTCCTTTCGTTTTGTGTCTGCCAAGATGTGGTTTAATGCAGGCGGGCCTGGCAGCAGCTTGTCTGCTTGTTCCCACAGGCAAACCAGTGCTGTCCTCAAGCTCTGGAAGGAGGAGGCAGGTTGGATTTGTCAAGATGGCCCAGCCAGTGAGCCCTGGAGCCCCATCTCTGTCTTCCAGCGTGGCTGTGTAAACAGCCCGTCTCTCCAGACCATCACTGCTAGGGGAACAGTTAGGAGACAACCCCCAAACTGTTTTTATGCTCCAGGTGCAAGGATTAAAACTTAGGAGCAGGATCTCAACATATGATGATTCCAGAGCTGCAGCTTGAGCTTGCTTTGACACTTGGCTGAAGTGCTGGAAGTTTCATGTTCCTCAGAGGTAGCTCCTCCGGTAGAAAGGTGCACTCTGCTGTGATTCCAACACAGGCTGCCCCAGGAGAGGGGAGGCTGCTTCTCTTCTGGCTGGAACCCCCTCCGTCCTTTCTCCCCTTACTACTCGCTTTGTTCCCAGTGTCGTGGCCTTGCAGGGGCCAGGGTTCTGCCTGGGGGATTTGCTCACTGTCCTTCTGGATGCAGTTGATGCTGTTTTGGCAATATCTGATAGGAGAGAGCGTGACCAATCCTACCATTTCATACCTAAAGCTGAACTGCCTGCAGTATTACCAGAAAGAGAAGTGTATCCTATCTGTTCTTACATTGCTAGAGAGACAGGCACAGGGACCCTTCGGTTTAATAAGGTGGGTAACCTACACCAAGGGATAGCAATGGGAAATATATATATATATATATATAATTTTTAAAGTTATTTCTGTTTTCATCTATACTTTTCTGTTGTCTGTGAAGAAAATTCTTATGAATGGTACAGGCAGAAAGAAGCCCCATAATTGTCCTTCATCAAATCACATCTTGCTGCCTCTTGTAGCCTCTTTCCTAGTAGGGATTTTCCATATTGGCATACTCGCCATTTTGATGCAGTTCCCTGTGTTTGCCATAGCTGGTGAAAGCTATAGGGAAAAATAAAAATATTCTGCCAAACCTCAAATGTATTTGTTTTCTTTATGGTAAAAGAAAAAAAGGGTAATGAGCTTCCTACTCCTACTGTAATTGGTTTTATTGAACCTGGGCTTAACCTGCATTTATTTTCACTTAGGTGGAGGAGAGATTTAGAAAAACTAATCAGGGCTCCCCTGAAGCACAGTCTAAGCAGATGGGCAAAGTGTTGGAGCCACCAGTGCCTTCAAGATCAGAGTCCTTTTCCAATGGAAATTCAGAACCTGCTCAGCCAGCCCTGCAGAGGCCAATGGAACCCCAGGTAAACGTCAAGGGAAATCCTGGGGAGCCTGCAGGAAATGCAGGAGCCCCAGCTTGTCTCCTCTGACCACGCGTTGGCAGGACTTGGAATGTAGAAAGTCTCATGCAAAGAGTAGCACTATTATGCGAAGCAGCTTATTCAGTAGGTTTGCTCTCTGTTTTCTATTGCTTATTTTATTAGTGAGCTGATGGTCTTCCTTTTTCTTTTTAACTAGAACTAAATTAAACTGTTGCATTCTATGATTATCTGTAGGGTAAATACTGGACACCATTGCAGAACAGGTTTACAATTCAGAATTTGATCTATGCAAAGTATTTCTACCAAAGAGGATGTTCAGGGGAAAAAAAAAAAAAGTGAACTAGCTTACTTTTTTTAAATTATTGGGGAAAAAGTTAACTAAATAGGTGGCTTTGAGTATGATGCAGTTTGAGTGCTGCTTCAGAGGGTTCAATAAAACATGACTAAGAAAATCATGTTGGCCATCAGTAGGCTCGCTCTTGTTAAATAGAGCTCTCTATCACCCCTGAAAGTCAAAAAGAGGTTGAAACCACTGAACGAAGTGGTGGTTGTCATTGTGTTATTTCCTAATAAAAACTGTCAGAGCTTGTATCTCATAGGAATGAGAGCATGAACTCAAAAAACAACCTTTGCCTAAGATTTACAAATGGGCCATCAGTTCTGAGCTATATAGTTCCTCTGTGTCCCTGAAGAATTCTTTTCTCCCAAATATGTGTAAATGACAGTGTTCCCGATTGCCTTGTTGCAAGTAGGTATTGAAACTCTTCTGGGCAAGAGGAAAAACTGAGCAGCCGAGAGAGTGGGAGAAGTCAGGACAGATCTTCATCCCTTATTCACTAATTCCTGGCTTTAATTCAAACCTTTATGATTATTTCAAAATATTAGACTTGTATCTTCATGCTCTCTGTGCCAGCTACTTTTAAAGTCTGGGTCTTATACTCACATGAAGAATAATCTGGCTCTTCCAATAGCTGTGTGGACAAAAATTGAGGAAATAACGATCATATAAAAATAAACACAACCATCCTAATGAAAATGGAATTGAAATAATTATTAGGTGCGAAGAGAATATCTTCCTCAGTTGTGACCTTTCCTTCTCCTCAGCTTCAGAAATTAGTTTGGAAACATGGTTTTATGCATGAGGAGGGATTAGGTTGAAAGTTCAGTATGGATTCCAGTGGAAATCCCAATGTTTTTTTAATTCTGGAGTCACTGTTGTGCCTTCTTAGTGTGTGTAATTGAATATGTGTGTGTGTGTGTATGTTTGTGTGTAGTTTGTGTATAAATACGTTTATATGTGCAGTATGTGGTACATATATGGGATATGTATAATATGTATTATACATATGTATACAATATATATTATGGTTTATATGTATATATATATATTGCAATGACTGTAATGGAATAAAGGCTTTTGTGTTATGACCTTCCTCCAAAGGTTTGGAACTGTATCCAGTTCCCTAATTCGTTAGGTGACATCAGTGCCGGTTGGTTTGCACATTTGGTGGCCTTTGTTAATTCGTCACTCTCTGCGATTGGCCACGTGCTCCAAATTCCCCAGCCACTGGTGCTGCCTGGAGAGCTGGTCCAAACCTGCTGAAGCCTGGGGAGCTGCACGAGGCCTCTGTCCTCAGCGGCCTTTGGACCCAGGCTCACGGTGCAAATCCGAGGTCCCCCCTGGTGCCGGCAGCGGCGCGTGTGTCTGTGGAGAGCGTCGCTCCCGGGGTGCACGTGTGCTCTGTTTGCAGTCCCTCACGTTGCTCAGGCGCTTGCCTTGCTTTTAAGTGCATCGATCCCACCCCACGCTTCCCTAATGCCATAACCGATTGTCTCTGCCCGCCCCAGCTGCCTTTATTCTGTGTTGATTGGAAAGCCCGTGATACTGAGCGCATTGAATGTTTTATGTTTTGTTTTCTTGTAAGGTACAGTGGTCCCATCTGGCATCTCTCAAGAACAATGTTTCCCCTGTCTCGCGATCCCATTCCTTCAGTGACCCTTCTCCCAAATTTGCTCATCACCATCTTCGTTCCCAGGACCCATATCCACCTTCACGCAGTGAAGTGCTAAGTCAGAGTTCTGACTCTAAGTCGGAGGTACCCGACCCCACCCAAAAGCCTTGGGCTAGATCAGACAGTGACGAGGTGCCTCCAAGGGTAAGGAGGAGAAGGACAGACATGTGCTCTTCTTTTCTTTTACTGTGTTCATTTAAGGATGTTGTAGCCTGGGCACGGGGCAGACTGTGCCGTTGGGACAGTGCCACTATGGGGATTTCAGGAGGGAAGTCGTACTGTAGGTATTTGCGCAATGGGTTAATGATAATCAGCCTTACGTGCAATATTGACAGTTCCTGTGAAACAGGCAATTTTTTTATAGAACGTAGCTATTGTAGAGAGAGACAATTTATTATGCAAAGTTAACAAATCATTACCATATCCAGGAAAGAATTTAAAACATCCCTGAGGTTATTGCTCAGAGTTAATTTTCTTCTTCATCTGTGAGCAACCCAAACTATGAATCATGCACAAATCTAAAACTGAAATGGAATTGAACAAAAAGGAAACATTCAATATATTTCCTCCTCCTCTCCCTCCCCCATCCACTGGGATTTGCTTCTTCTGAGTATATTCCCTCTCCCCCACCAGTCTTTGCCTTCTGCTGATCCATTCCCAGGCATTTGTTTGATTCCCCTGAGCTTATTGCTTATTTTCCTAATTCTCATGCTGTTTCAGCAAATTGCTTTGTGCCTCGCCTGCTACAGTCAAAATGCCATATTCTTTTTAAATGTCTCAGTAGTTGGAGAATAGGGGGTGTGTATGTGTTTTGTGTGATAGCTACTACTACTTAGTATTAAGACTAAACTTGGAGTTCTCTTCAAAATCTGATCAGAATCCCAACTAAGGCTCTCTGGCTTTGTGGGTATATTCTTATTCATTCTGATTTTCGATACTAATTTGGACTTAGAGTAAGCATTGTTAAAATCTTAAGAGTATATTCTATAGCAGGAGAGGATTCGTTTTCCTCTTCTCTTTCTCCTTTCTTGTCTTTAATACAACCATTTTTCTCCCAAGGTGCCCGTGAGAACAACGTCCCGATCTCCTGTCCTGTCCCGTCGTGATTCTCCGCTGCAGGGCAGTGGGCAGCAAAATAACCAAGCAGGTCAAAGAAACTCCACGAGGTTTGTAAGCCTACGTGTGCCTGCGTTTCCCACGCGGGAAGGAAAAGGCTGATGGGAAGCCAGGCTTTCCTCAGAGGACTTTTGCCGTTGTCTATTTATGGGGCATGAAATGAAGAGGAATTTGGATTCCTTTTCAGTCGTGATTAATTTTCCTTGCCGTATCATGTACGCTAGCAAATGCTGGCAGAATTTCTTCTCGCCTCCCCTTTGAATTGTCTGTCCTATAATTTTTGAAAAAATTCAAAATATCCTGAACATTACTGAAAGAAAGAAATGTGGTCATTCATGAACATTACACCTTTTGGTGTATCAGGTCATCTTGGGTAGCTGTGGGAGTTGCTTTCAGCAGAATTAAGACCTAAAGCAAAGAGATCTCAGGAAATTTCCAGCCTCTCAGCCAGAACTAGGCTTCGGAAGAGGCAGAAACATCCCTGAATTGTGACAGAAAACATTTGAGCTCAGAAGGGGGAAGAAGGGGCTATCTCCAAAGCAGCAGAGCAAAGTGGACCCAGAATTGGTCTCTGGAGGTTGGTTGGGGGTATCCTGAGAGGGGAAGATAGTGCTGGCTTTATGGTTTGGCTTATGTGAGCTAACTCTGAACATGCTGCATGCAGGCTGAGGGAACTGTCTGCTTTGGCTTGGATATGCAACACAGTCCCAAGCAGGAAACAGCAGCTCATACCCAGTTACATTTCCTTTGCCATCCTAAATAAGGTAGTAGGTATTTCAAAGGGAGCCACTGCCTGGGTCGCGAAGTCACTGACGCTCTCAGTCCAGTGTTTGTAAGCGTTTTTTCAGAGCAGTTATTAGCAAAACACTCGGGAGGAATGATGTTCGGGTTGAGAAGCAGGAATCTGACACTGAAGTGAATGACAGAGACTTTCTTGCCTCCTCTGAACCAGCAATATAGAGCCTCGTCTGCTGTGGGAGAGGGTGGAGAAGCTCGTTCCGAGACCGGGCAGCGGCAGCTCTTCAGGTTCAAGCAACTCCGGCTCCCAGCCTGGCTCCCATCCCGGCTCTCAGAGCGGATCTGGAGAGCGCTTCCGGATGAGATGTAAGGCCTTCCACCACCCCTCGTAACGTTTCTGGAGTTAGATGAGCTGCAACACTTAGAAATGAAGGGCGATAACCCTCACTTGGACAGACATTTGGCCATGCAGTACCCAAAACAGATTAGCTTTAGCATTTGGAAATGCCCCCCTGCGGGCTGCATGCTCTTGCTCAGGAAAGACAAGAGATGTAGAAGTGGCCATGAAAACATTTCAGAGTTCTCTGGTATGCGTTCAGTTGCTGCTGCTTTTTCCCATGTGCAGGCAGCCTGGTCTCCATGCTTTTGTAACCTCTTTCCTCACTTGTTCGAGGGCACCTTTCGATCTGTGCTGTGATCGTTGCTGAAAGTGTGCAAACTGCTAAGGACACCGCTCAGCTGGAGTGCTCTGGATGCTGCATCCAGGTCTTCCAGCTTGTAACTTAGTAGGGTTAAACAGTTTGATTCACCTGCTGGCCCAATCCCTTGGGCAAGTGAGCACAGCACCTGTAACCACTTTGGCTTTGTACTTATGTGACAGTTTATTTGGACTTTGGTCATAGTCAGCTGCACCTACACCAGTCACAGCTGACACTGCTACTTTCTGCAGAGTCTTTCAGGGAAAATGTATCAGCAAACCAGTGAAACAGATGTCTTGCAGTCAGACACTTAAACCTTCTCCCCTATGTTTCTTCCTCTAAAGTGAAATAAGAAAATGTATGTTAGCTTCCCAGTGAATCCCTGCTTTGTTCTGTGTTCCTTTTTGGGTCTTGGTGCACACAGCGTCATCAAAATCGGAGGGTTCGCCATCGCAGCGCCATGAGAACGCGGCCAAAAAGCCTGAAGAGAAAAAGGAAGTCTTCAGGCCTGTCAAGCCTGCTGTAAGTCACATCTGCTGCCCCCCGACTCTGCTCGTTTTCCCGTAGACCCCTATGAGTGTAAACGTGAACATCGTGATGTCTTTGAGAGTGAGCTTCAGTGCTGGTTTGAGTTCATAACCATGGGGCCAGCAGTGTGTTCTGTGCTATGTAGGTTTGCTTGTGCATATGACAAAGCTTTAAATATGAGGATTTATTCTGCCTTTGGAATTGGTTTCCGTTCTGTCATCTTCTTCCTTTCTAACCTTTCTCTTTTTCAATCCTGTGCTTCCTGTCTGTGGCGGGACCCATGATAACGCATTTGACCTGAATGTATCAATGCTGTGCTGAATGGTGCAGGGAGAAGTGGTAAGACCTTAAATTGTTGCTATTTTCCGGTTTTTGTTTTTGTTTGTTTTTCTTTTAATCTGGCTGCCGTTAAGATGATTATAATTCTATGTGCTGTTGTATCCAGGGGATCACAGTAGTATTCACTGTAGGGGAACTTTCTTTGAAACTTTTTTTCTCTTGCTGTTACTGTACTAGCACAGAAACCTGTCAGTTAAAGCTACTTTCTTAAACGCAGAGGTTGTTCCTTCACTTCTAACTGGTACTGAAGTATTTGCTATAAACTCTTTTTAGCTTAATAATGCATAGCTACAGGATTGAGAGTAGGTCACTGCAAAACTGCTTTGCCCACACTTCAAGTGGCAGGGAGAAAGTCAGCTTATGTCCCAAACTGTTTGACAGTTGTGTATGAGAGAGCCAGTGCTAATGAATTTGACCTTTCATATGAGCTTCTAAGCTGACTGGATATGCTGTGCCTTGCAATGCTCAATACTTCTTAGGATGTTTTTGCTATCTCAGTGCCCAGAGTTTCTTGTGGTAGATGCTATTAGCCTGCAGGGTTAAGAAAAATGAACTGTGAGAGGCAGCCGTTGTGTGAGAGCAGGTGCAGGTGCTTATATAAGTCTTTCGAATGGTATAATGGGATAAAATAAGGCCATAGTCAAGGTGGTTTGGATTCAGAATATACACATTTTTCTTCAATACGGCAAGGACTCCTTAGGTTGACTCTTTAGGTGTTTTAGTTTTTACCTGCAAAGGAGTATTGGTAGCCATCAGAAATGAATAAGCCAAGGAAACATACTGCTTGGAGCTTTGGGAACAGCAGTGGATTGCCACGCACAAATCAGGCACCAAGTGTAACACAGTGGGGTTGTCTTGCAGGCTGTCTTCCTCTCTTGCCTGCATCGTCACTTTTCTTTTCCCTCTGCCGTCAGGATTTAACCGCCTTGGCGAAGGAATTACGTGCGGTAGAAGATGTGAGACCTCCCCATAAGGTGACGGATTATTCATCCTCCAGTGAAGAGTCAGGGACAACGGATGAGGAAGATGACGATATGGAACAGGAAGGAGCAGATGAATCTACTTCTGGACCTGATGATGTCCGAGCAGTGTTAGTTCTTCTGCATTTTGCTTTTGTTTTCCCACTTGGGGGGTTTGAAGGATAATAAAGTTAAGAATTTGGCTTGTATGTTAGTTCTTACAGCTTGCAACTGATCTAAGAGCAAGACAGCATTATATATAGTGACATTTTCAAACACGGAAGCAGTGTCTTCAAATCAAACTGAGCATTTGGGATGCAAGTGAGGAACTAAGTTCTAGGTAACTCTAGGTGACCCTGCTTGTGCAGAGGGTTTGGACTAGATGATCCGCAAAAGTCCCTGCTGTCCTTAGTCATTCTGTGGTTCTGCGATTTCTGCAAATGGGAAATGAGCCTCTCAGCTCCCCAGGAAAGTTTTATTGGTATGTATTAAAGCAGGCTGAATGGTACTTCTAGAAATAGTGTCCTTTCAAGTTTCTCCCTTTGATTTGCAATAAGCAAGAAGGGGTGTTCAGCAAATTCTTGACTCTCTTTTTGACAGAGAAACTTTAATTGGCAGGTTATATAAATACTCCATTTTGAACACAACATAAATGAATTTTGGCTGTGCCTTGGTGTGGAGCTGTGAAAGCTAGAGCACAAATACTGTTATCTCACCCCAGTTATTTCTTGCCTGGCTGATAGGTCAACGTTGAACTTGAGCAACGGCGAAACTGAATCAGTGAAAACCATGATTGTCCATGATGATGTGGAGAGTGAACCAGCCTTGACTCCGTCTAAGGAGGGCACCTTAATTGTCCGACAGGTATTGCTTTTCCTTCCTGTGCAGCGTTGCACCTTTTCTGTGCTCATTAACCCACTCGCTCATTCACCCATGCTGTTTCTACATTATATTTGTTGTTCGTATTACCGAGACACAGCTGTAGTGAATTTCAGATGAGCAAGATGTTTGATGCATGCAAAGAAACAAGTAGTCCTCACCCCTTGCTACTGTTCTGCATGCTTTCCAGTGACCCCCCTAGCAGCAATGTGCAGAGTACCTCAAAGGCTATGGGACAGGATGGTAGCACAGCTGCAGGAGTGCAAAGCAAGTACCTGGAGCAAGGAGCTTAGTTCAGTTTTACCATAGGACAAAACATGTGTCTCAGGAGTGGGGTTGGGAAGGAGGCTGTCAGGAAGCATTCAGCGATTGGGGCTGTCGTTTACTTTATTTTATTATTTCATTATTTTCACCCTGTAGTTGAGGGCATACTGACCGCCCAAGTAACACATGCAGAAAAGCACACACACACACACAGACACACACAGAGACAGATACAAATTTGCACAACAAACAACTAGTACAGCGGGAATGGAGAGGCAAAACGGGTGGCAAAGCAGAGAATGTGGACAGAGCTAGGGTGCTTTGTTGTTTCTTTTGATGCTGAAATGTTGCATTCTTGTGCCTGTGAAAGATAATGCTTCCCTGCTTTTCAATGAGCTCATCTGTTAATGAGCGTGTTAGCTTATAGGAGTTGCCCCAGTAATCGCATTGCTGAATTTCACCCCCAAGTGCCAATTGCTGAATCGAGCCTGCTAGTTTGAAAATGAAGATTTCATGCTTATTGTTTCAAGCAGCGAGCCGAGCGCGTTCGCCAGGCAGCCCCAGCGCGTAGCTGCGCGGGAGTTCAGTTAGTGCCACCCAGAGCAGCAGGGGTAGAAACCCCCGTCCCGAGCCCCGCTCCCGAGGGCGCTGGCCCGGGCTGGGGCAGGACACACGCCGGCTCAGTAGCTCCTCTCTCAGCGGACCTGGCTCTGCGGAGCCAGCCGCGTCCCGTGCGCTTTTGCCTGCCCGACATGGTGGGGATGTGCTGAACCCCGGCCGTTCTGCCCACTTTCAACCCAAGCACCAAGGCGTGAGTTACCAGCCTGTTCCAAGGCAAAGCGACAAGTGAAAAGGTAGATGAGGTAGAAGGAGAGCGAGGGAGAGAAGCAGAGAGCTCGTTAGGGACGTAGGCCTGTAAGCAGCACTTGAGCAAGACAAGTGTGCCTGTTTTTTCTGCAGAGTACAGTTGACAAAAAGCGCGCCAGCCATCATGAGAGCAATGGCTTTGCCGGTCGCATTCACCTCTTGCCAGATCTCTTACAGCAAAGCCATTCCTCCTCCACTTCCTCCACCTCCTCCTCCCCATCCTCCAGCCAGCCGACACCCACCATGTCCCCACAGACACCCCAGGACAAGCTCACTGCTCACGAGGTACGTCGCTCCCCACAGCTGGCTGCTTGCGTAGGGCTCTAGCAGCGCCGCCTCCTAGCTAGTGCGCACAGGGACTCCAGCCAACCTCCCCTTGCTTCTTTTGGTTGTTTTTTTAATTTCTCCTGTCACCTTGTTCCCACCCCCAAAATAACACGTTTCAGTTCTGTTTGAGAAGCCCCTAACTCTAGAGCAGCCCCCACGCCAAACTTGCCAGTTTACTATTTTTGCTGCCTTTTAGTGAGTCATTAATTGCATGGCGTTTGTTTGAAACTAAACTTGACTACTGTAATTTCAAGCCAATACTCTTTTTTCTTTCCTTTTTTTTTTCCCCCTAATTCTGTTTTATTCTGGGAGCAGGCTAATTTCAGGCAGCGTGCCTCCTAAAACTTAGCGGTTGATTTTGGCTTTGTCACTAAAGGCTGGGCTAGCAGCTATGCATCTATGAGGAGCTGCCTGTAGCAACTCACCGCTGGGGAAAGGAAGCTGCCATGGAGGGATTTGGGCATTTTTGGAACTTGCTACGTGGGGTGGGGGAATGCGCCAGGTGTTGCCCGGGAGGGGTCTCAAATCTGGGTGGTTGAAATAAAGAAAATCAGGGGAAAATCTGTGTTTTTTCCAGTATGTTTGTGCTCTGAGAAGCAACCGTGCAAGGATGGCTGTGGGCTTGGGTCTGCACAGAGGAGGAAGGCTCGGCCACTTTGGGAGCTCTCTTGTCCCACTGGGTGGTCCCACGGGGCCTTCCTCTGCTCGTGGGGCTCTGCTGGGGCCTGGTGGTGCAGGGGTCTGTAGCCCCTTGCAGCAGAGGGGATGCAGCCCTGTGAATGAAGGGCATCGTTTGCCCAGTCCTACCTCTAGCAGCAAGTGAGGAACCTGGTGTGACTTTCCCACTGCCACCCAGGAGGCCAGCGTAGGCTTTAGGAACAACCACTTCCTTACATGCAAACAGGGTCAGCGCAGGGAGAGCAAAACTGTGTGAAAAGGGCACCTGGCCCTGCAGGCTTGCGAGGGCTGTGGGCAAGAGCAGGAGGTGGCGAGCGGGGCTGGCTCGTGGCGGTGCACTCTGTGAAGCCGTGTAGCAGCAGGTGGTGTGTGCTGGTTGGGGGGTGGTTTCTCCCTGGAAGCTCTGTTAGCATAATACTCCATGTTCAGCTGTGCTTTGTCAGCCTTTGATCTTTCCAGAAGCTTGCTCTGGCAGGTCGTAGAGGGGATGGGTCCAGAGAGATGCTCGCGCATTGCCCTGCTGCAGGCAGCAGAATGAGCCGGGTTCAGCTGCCTCAGGCAGCTGGGGCCCTGGCTGCTGGAGCTAGTCACCTGCGCAGGAGAGTCATGTATTCATAAGACCCATTGCTGTTTCTCTGCAGTAGAAGCTTAGAAAGATCAGAGGTTGGAGATTAGTTGATGATGACGTGCATCTAACTATGTTTGCATAAAGCTGAGCTAAGACCCAGTTCTGCTTGGTGTAACTTTCCCACGTGCACACCCTTTACATGTATTTTTACTTGTCCCATTCTGCTTCAGTGTGCAATGTCGTCACTATAATACTAAACTGGCAAGGGTTTTTAAGTCGCTCCATTTCCACTTTTAACAGTTCATTGTTTCACTTGTCTTCTTCCTTTCTTTATGTTTTTTCATGTTTAGACCACATAAGCAAGCACCAGTGCTTTTATCCACTACATATTCATAGCTTCATGTCACCGTTTGCTACACCTTCCACACTAATGAGCCCCTTTGTTCGATACAGGTTTAATATTTTGCTATGTCAAATAAAGGTGGAAGAACCTGCTGCAGCTTTCTGGCAAGAGGCTCAGGTTAAACAAAATAGGGAGAAAGAACAGTACTGGACACTGAAACATATTCCATCATAGAAGTGAATATCTGATCCCAGATGTTTCAGGTTTTATTGCACAAGCCAAAAGATCCAATTTCTTATCTTACTAAACTAGCTCATTTTAGGAGATGCTTCAGAAATGCAGAAGTGGAATGTAGTGGACAGCTTGCAGATAAGAAAGTAGACATAAGCATTTAAGCAGACTTAAAAAAAAAAAAAGGAAAGCTAAAAAGGAAAAAGCGACATTCCCTCACTTTATGCCTGATCCTAGTGACCAGTCTTAAAAAATGATCTTGCAGCTGAGCTGACAGGGATGAACATTTAGCTAACTGCATTTTCACTGTAACATGCAGTTTGCATATGTTCAGGTATGGTGCCTGCAGTGCATTAATTATATATCTCTAAAGGAAGCATAAAAGAGTGGGGAGGCTCTGTACCACAATTCTGTAGTGACTTTAAAATGTTGGTTGTTGTTATCCTTGCTTTTTATTGTCATTAATATTAATAAAGTTGAAATTTACATTGCAGACTCAGTCCGCTAGTAACACACTCCAGAAACACAAATCTTCCTCCTCCTTTACACCTTTTATAGACCCCAGATTACTACAGATTTCTCCATCTAGTGGGACAACTGTGACTTCTGTGGGTAAGTAAAGTAGCTGCAAGAAGACAATTGAAAAAGGGTTCAGTGACTTTAGTGGCTCTTTAAAGTACTTACGAATTTAATCATCATGCTTTTTATTTGATTTGCAATGGATTGCATAGTTTATTTCTTTTTCCATTTACATTTCTTACAAAAAGAAAGACTTGCTCAGTATTCTCAGTTACTGATGTGGGTTGTTTGGAGTAAGGAATAAACGGTCAGAGCTTAGCACTCAGGGGATATTACATGCCCTGTACTTTTCTCTCTTTTCAGTAGGATTTTCTAGCGAAGCAATGAGATCAGAGGCAATAAGGCAAGACCCCACGCGGAAGGGATCAGTTGTCAATGTGAATCCTACAAACACACGACCACAGAGCGATACCCCCGAGATTCGCAAATACAAGAAGAGATTCAACTCGGAGATTCTGTGCGCTGCCTTATGGGGTAATGAATTCCTCTTGCTCACTTTCCTCCTGCAGTGCTGAAATGTAACCTTGCCAGTAGGAGCATGAGGTCTGCGAGAACAAACCTCTGAAGCCTTAGCTCTTTCTGTGCATTATTCACATGACTTCATTGCAAGAGCTGATCATTATGTTTTAAAAAATATGTTGCTTCTGCTTTGATACAGCTTCTTGCTGCTGTACACATACTCTCAATGGCATGGGTCAGACTTGCTTCAGCCTATTTGCATCTGGATGCTCTTTTAGCTTTTCTAGTCCCCTGTTAGAACATTTCTTGCAGCTTTTGGGAACTTGTGGTCATCTTTGCATCATACACGTCAAGCCAGTGCCCATTCACGTAGGGATTTACTTTTAACAGATATCCTTTTGTGCTGCTCTTGTTAATGTATTGTTGCAGAGCTGGAGGAAGCTGGGTTTTCTTAGATATTTTCTCTGTAGGAAGGCCAAGGAAAGGGGAAGGATACCTCCAGTGTCTTTTCCAGTTAGATATTTTTCCACCTCAGTTATCAGTCTCTGTAGGAAGGCCAAGGAAAAGGGAAGGATACCTCCAGTGTCTTTTCCAGTGTGAAACTACAGCTTAAATTCTACAGTGCTGGTTAGTGCAGAGAGAAGTTGGATGTGGGATGTCAGCTGACTTAAGTATGTCTGCCTTTCTGGTCACAAGGGCTAATTTATATCGGTGTCAGACAATGCAGACAGGATCCTACACTGGTAAAAGGCTTAGGGCAATTCTTTTATTGCCTGTTATAATGTGGAATCAGTGCTGCAACACCCAGTTGAAAGCCTTTCTCTGCCATGTAATTTCTCTGTTGGCCAAAATCCATGGGGCCACTTGAATTTCCTCATTATCTAGATGTTAGTACATGATGCTTGTGTATATTAAATTTATGTATATGCACGCATAATATATTCATATATATCCTAGTTCTAAAGTGAGAACACTGTAAATGCACATGTATATCACATGTATATCATTTTCAAAGCTAAAAAGAGTTGGCCTTTCCTTAAACACAAATGATGAGTATGTAGCAGCAGAGTGCACTTCCGTGTTTGCATCTGCGTAACTCTTTGCAAGGCTTTCCCTGGCTTTCCAGGTGATTTCCAGTCTTCCTGTTCCTCAGGACAGCGCTGTTGCCCTGTGCTTCTTGCCTGCAAAGCCATGTGACTTAAGTAGCAGCCCCCCAGCAACTTAGTATCTTTCTAGCTGTTTTTTTTTCTTTCTTTCCAGGGTTCATTGGTAAGAATTTTTACCCATATGCAATTTCTGCATGCATTCATGTGAATAATACTCTGATAAAATAGAGTGTGTGCAAATGCAAGATTTCTGACTGCATGATAGTGAAGGCAGCAGGAAGTTGTATAGGATCAGTAAGGATGACTCATAGTCTTTCTGATCTGCCTTGTTTTGCCAATAGCAATTTGTGTTAATGGTTTTATATTTCTTTGATCTACGTGTCTGACTGTTGCGGTGATTTAAAGTGTAAGTGCAAAATCCTAGAGGTGTTTTACAGTTGAAACAATGCCCGTTTCTGTTGAATATTTAGGGCCAAACTGATGGTGGTGTAAGCTAGTGAACATGCGTATTTCTTTTCTTTTTTTTTTTTTCTTCCTACAGCAAATCAAGCCATTTCATGCTGGTGTTTCTCACTGAGTAGAGGGAGTTTGCTTTCCTTTGTTTTGTTTTACCTTTACTAGTGTTCATGCTATCTGGTAGGTTGCTGATTATGTTAGTTCTGTGATACTGTTTCTATTAGTACTAAGTGGTGACAGTTAATGGCTTGGATGCATAACAGAGATTTTATGGTCATTGATTTTTAAGCCCAGTCCCCACAAAAAACCTGTTCCTTTCTTTTAGGCAACATTTCCATTTGTTTGAAAAATCAGAACAGCTTAATTGTAGGGTGGGGGTAGAAGAAGTTGGCTGGCGTTGAGTAAAGACGATGCCTGAATTTTAATGTGGCACAGGGTGGCATCCAGGCGGGTTTGGAAGATCTCCAGAGAAGGAGACTCCACAACCTCTCTGGGCAGCCTGTTCCAGGGCTCTGGCACCCTCACAGGAAAGTTCTTCCTCGTATGGAGATGGTACTTCTCTCAAGGTGCAGATAGCTAGGGAAAGGCATTGTGGACAGGTGAGTGCAGAAATTTGAAGCAGCAACAACAGCATAAGGCCAACAGAGAAAGATGAGGGTGGAGGAGGAGGCTCTTGAGCCCTGGCCTACAAAGAGGGGAAGAGACCATGTGAAAGCAGTTTGCATGTCCCTTTGAATATTAAACCACACTGAAAAAACACAAAATTATGTATCAAAGCCGACTCACTTGCAGCTTTATGTATTCCATGTGGGAGGTGCAGCAGTGAGACCGAGTGCTTGGCGCTTCCTCGGCTGGTTGGGTCCCGCTGCGCCCTGCGTGGGGCCCTGCCTGGGTGCACTCCCGGCACCCTTCTTCCTTCTGCCTCCTCCCAGCTTGAGATCTCTTCCCTGGGAGAGACGGGGAGCCGGGCGGTGTGAAATCCAATCTGAGGTGGAAGCAGAGGTGGTAGTTTCCAGGGACCCACTGAAGTTTCCCTGCTGAGAGGGCATGCGAAGGAGAATGGAGCAAGTTTCACACTTGTGGTGGGCAGGGTAGCATTTGGGTCAGCTCCTCGTATCTCTGATTACTCTTTGTGAACAACGTGCCTTTTGGAAATGATGCGAGAGCAGGGAGATTTCTGTTGATGTCTTGTCACTGCTGCGGATCCAAACCGTGTGTCCTGAGGTGCAGGCTCCCATGTGCTGGGACAGCTTTGCAAGAGCTTTTGCTTCGTGATCAGTCTGCATGATATTCCTGTGTGGCTCCAGAATAGTTATATCTTGGGAATACTGTCTGACTAGGGATTAAGGCCATTTAGCAATATAATTATTATTATCTTTTGTGTAAATTTCTCTTTTATTATTTCATTATATTATTATGCTTAAGGATAACAAGTTTAGCATCCAGATTGCAACACAGAAGTCTAATAAAATGAGCCTTGTGTTTGGTTTGATTTCCATTCCGTGTACTGTACTGTATTTGACCTGTCTCTGAACAATTTGTGGGATCCTAGACTGAAGCACTGTGATTAATGCAAATGGTTATGAAATGTTACACTGATAATATGTTAATCATTTTTTAAAACTTGTTCTTACAGATTCTTTTTTCACTGCAGAAATGTAATTGGTTTTATATTCTGAGGTGTTTGGGGCTCTTAAAGAATTTTCTATTGGAAGTGTGGACCTTTGTATAAAGAAACTGGCCTACTGACTTTTCTCATCTATGTTTGCATGATCCTTAGAAGAACATTTGTGAATACTTGGAAATAACAGATGAAAATCATAGTTGGATTGTACAATTTATGTGGAAAAGATGTTATAACCAGAATTTTGCTATTTCAGGTTGTTGAGAAGTTGAGACCCAACCCTTTGCCCATCCTTTTACAGGAGAAGAGTACAGTCTTCTCATCCCATTGGTCCTCTTAAGCCCCTGCCACTGCTTTCTCTCAGTGTTCTTGTCTTGCATCGCATTTGCCAGGCCAGTAACAGCTTACAGGCCAACCCTTCAGAATATATAAGCTTGGTAATGTGCCTTTCTGCTTGGAAGCTGGTGCTCTAGAAAACTCCCCGTGGTTTACTGGTCTTTTGCTGTCTTGTATGGCACAATATTGTTTTGGGTTTCGGTAGCTGCAGTTAGCCAAGAGAGCCTCTGGGTCATGAGGACTTCTGCTTGGCAGCCAGGCAGGACCAGCAGTGATGGGGCATGCTTGAACCATGACAGTTGCTCTGTAAAGCGTTCGTTCATCAATGCATACGTCAAATTTGCCTCCTAACCTCGGTCTCTGTTTTTGTTGTTTCTTTTAGGAGTGAACTTGCTAGTGGGCACTGAAAGTGGGCTGATGCTGCTAGACAGAAGTGGTCAGGGGAAAGTTTATCCGCTCATCAATCGAAGACGATTCCAGCAAATGGATGTACTTGAAGGGCTGAATGTCTTGGTGACAATTTCTGGTAAAGTTAACTGTTCAGTGTCATTTTTACCCTTGTCTGGCATGGCATGGCACAGCAAAAATCTTCTCTCGTCAGTCTATGTGTTGAGGGGAAAGTCCTGACTTGACTGAGGTTGGCGGGTTTTCCATCACTTCACCTCTCCGAGTTTTCAGTTTGTTTCTGCAAATGAGTCATTTTCCATACACCGCCCGTGCCTGCCTGTCCCCTGTCCTTCCTCCCATGGGTGGCTGTTCAGAGAGCTGCGCGGTCTTGGAGGCAACGTCCATCTCTGTGCTGTGTTTGGGAGCTGTGAACGAATGTTTTGTGAAGTTGTCAAAAGGGCATCCTTCCCCTCTTGCGCGCTTAGCTTCAGTCCGGCCTCTTTCTAATCAAAACATGATTTGCCGCGTGGGCTTCTAAAGCCATCTCGTGTGTTTGTATCGGTAGAAGGGGAAATGTTCTTGCAAAGCAGGGAAATAAGAACGGCACGGAGGAGGTGACAGGGAGTGGAGCGCGGCGTGTGTGGCGGGAGATGATGAATGTGAGAAGCCAGGCGGGTGCAGTGCTTGCCTTGCTCTCCTCGGGTGCAGCAGCACACGGCTGAGCAACAGGGCATGGAGGGTGGTGGTGACGGCTGCATTTGCTGTGTGTGTGGTGATGAAAAACGTGCCTTACGAAGCGTGAGCTTCCAGACTGCTAGGCTCCAGAGGGTTATTGCGTAAGGTTGTTCTGCGGTTAGGCATCTTGGTGTGGTGTGCTGTTAACCTTTCTCCACGGCCATAGCTCAGCCGTGGGGGCTCCCGCCACTGCACCGCGCCGTCCTGCGAGCCCTGGGGCGCCGTGCACAGCCCCGCGGTCCCTGAGGGGAGCTCCCCGGCGCTCCCGGCTCCTCACAGAACCACGGAAGGGTTGAGGTTGGAGGGGACCTCCAGAGACCACCTAATCCAACCCCCCTGCTCCAGCAGGGACACCTAGAGCACATGGCACAGGGTGGCATCCAGGCGGGTTTGGAAGATCTCCAGGGAAGGAGACTTCACAACCTCTCTGGGCAGCCTGTTCCAGGCTCTGTCACCCTCACAGTAAGGAAGTTCTTCCTCACATGGAGATGGAACTGCCTGGGTTTCAACTCAACTTTGAACCCATTACCCCTTGTCCTAAAAGGAGAAGCTCCATCATTGCATGCCCATGGGGCAGGCCCTGCGGGGCTCGGGGGAGCAGTAATGACTGTGTCTGCCAGAGCTGCAAGTAAACATACACCCAGGCAATTTAATTTGTTAGTGGTAATATGCTCTTGCTGTAGGATCAACGCTGGGCTTGGTTTCTGTTTAAAGCAGCTGTATTTTTAATTGGCTTGTAAGCATGTTCAATTTTCAGATACAGCTAAGCTGCAAAACATATAAGCAGGATAAATGAATCCAGGATGATTAAAAACAATCAACCAGCCTCTTGTGTGTCCCCTTTGGTGTTCCTTTGACGTCTAGCACCGAGTTGTGCGTTAAAAACGAATGCTACCTGGGGAGGACCATTCCGCAGAGTTTGCTGCACAGTGGACCTCACAAACAAAAGTATTGTATAACCCAGCTTGTGTAAAACCTGCTGGTTGGAAGCATAACCTATACAGACGACAAGTGTCTGTGAAATCTCGTGCGCGATTGTTTTAGGTTTATTTATGTTTGCGTCAGTCACGATCCGAGTGCCCTGGCACATCCGTTTTCTTTGTTTCCTTCAAAACTATTGCTTCCTCTGCCGAGACACGCTACATTAACCCTTAAGAAATCAGCCCGTCTTGGGCTGTTTTATGGCTTCACCTTTGTCCCTTACCCTCCGTTCTGGGGGGAGGTTTCTACACTACATGGAAGGACCGAGGTATTCCTGCCCACCGAGAGGCAGGATGTGCTTAGGGCAGCCATTATCTCTATATACCCAGGCCTCCCTCACGTCACAGTTTTGGCTCCTGCGCTTTAGCGTTCGGCCTGACCCGTCCTCACACCAAGCTTGCTGTTTTTGGTGCCTATGGAAGTTGCTGCAGCTACATCGCTGCGGCCCGGCGCTTCCCTCCCCTCCGGGTGTCGACTGGCGGCAGCTCCTGCTCCGCTTGGAGCGCGGCTCCCTTCCCGACGGCTCCGCGGGCCACGTGTGCCCGCGGCTTCTTCAGGATGTGACGTGCTTGTGGTGGTGGGGTTTGAGAGGTGCCGCGTGCTGCGGGAAGCAATCGCTCTGCGCTGTCACTGTGAGGGGATTGTCACCGAAAAACGGCATTTTAATTTAGAAAACCTGGCACCCCTTTTTTTTTTTCCCCCAAGTCTTTTTCTTGAGTGCAAAACTTACCTGGACAGCAAAGCTTCTGATACTGAGCTGTAACCCACAGCACCGGGCAGCTCTGCAGGTTAAAGCTCCTGAATTCATCGTTCTTCAGTTTATATAGTCGGGAGACAAAAACAGATGAGAGCCATAAAAATACTGGAAAACAAAGCAACGACGTGTGCACAGAACATGCAAATCCCTCAGGGAGTCATGAATGGAGCAAGTGCCCCAGGAAGGTAGAAGGAGATGACGGGGCAGAAGAACTGGTTGGAGTCTTCCTGCTTAATAATTAACAAACCACAGCAAAAATAAAAACAAAAAGCTCAGAATAGGAAAAGGGACTTTGCATTTGAAACAGTGTCTGTGGGAGAACCAGGACTAGGAGTTCTCATAGAAGTCACCGTCTGATCAGCTTATTCAATGACTGGAGCAGACGGGTTTTTTCACTCCTTATTTCATGGCCTTAGCAAATTTACCACCCCCATAAAAAAGAAGGGTTGTTGAGAGCTGTTTAAATTGACTGGTACAGATTAGCAAGCAGAAGGATCTAATCCTTCCAACCGCCCATCTCCCATTTAAATATTAAGAGCAGTGTAACTTGCTGAAATCCATGCGTTGCCATGTTTATGTAACTAACTGCTCGTGCTCTTTTTGTGTCAGCTCGCTGAAAGGCAGAGGAATTTCCTGTCTTGTGACTTTCCCTGTGGTCTAGACACCAAAACACAATGGGAACACACTTGAGATATTTTCCTATTGTTGTTGTGAAAAAAAAATGTTTCTGGAGAGAAACACCCCAGTGCATATCATGTGAGGAGGCATGGGGGAAGAAAATAAAGCCATGTGCTTGGAAACTCTGTACGTGCTATTTGTTCTGAATCATAAAGTCTGACTAAGCTACTGGGGAGCATTAAGCCATGGAGAAGCCTGAGTGGGAATTTGTCCCCTAATTGACAGGGACTTGTCATAGTTTTACGGTCAGTGCCATCGTTCTGACCTTGAGCTCTCCTTTTGACCTGTTCCTTGCCCAGAATTGTACTACTTTCTGCTCTGGATTCTTCCCTACTGAGAGAACTGGAGGTTTTTTTTTTTCCCATCCTGTCCCTCGTGACCGTCTTCTGCAGTGCCTTTGTGAGGGGACCTTGCTTTGTTCAGATGTGGCACCTGTGGCACTTGTGTTTTGTTCTCTGGTACCTTTTGCTCATCTTCAAGAGCTGTGGCGAGATGAAGCTTTGTCCGTATGAGACTTGGCCTGATAAATATGAAGCCAGACAGTAAATCGGAGTGCTTACTTGCTGCCAGGTCTGCTGTCCACATTTGAGTGAGAATAAACAAAGGACAGCACAGTGTTGCCTCACATGTCACTTGCTGTCATCAGAGCAGAGGGTGATTTTTTTTTTTAGTGAAATGGCAGGTCCAGATTCCATTTTACGTTGAAATTCAGTGAACAGATTTTCCCTTTCAGGCTGCCTTCCCTTGTCCTCCTGCCCTCCCCCCCTGACTAATCACACGCACGGGATCTTTCAGACTGTGCCTCTTTGTCACGGAGAGATTGATGGCCCTGGTGTCGAGCGCGCGGTCTGTTGGCAAGCTGTGCTTCCTGCCACACGTGCTCCCGCAGCCCTGCCGGCGAGCGGGCCCTTCCGAGCGCCCGCATATGCCCCGGGAGCCCGGCCGGCGCAGCCGAGCTCCTTCCAACAGGGAAGGGGCTGTGTGGGGCTCCGGGAGCCCCGACCCAGCCCAGTGCAGTAGGGAGGTCTCAGCACTGGGGCTTCGTGCGCTGCTCCGCAGCCGCACAGGTTCACACAATCCCGGAAGGGTTGAGGTTGGAAGGGACCTCCAGAGACCATCTAGTTCAACCCCCCTGCTCCAGCAGGGACACCCAGAGCACGTGGCACAGGGTGGCATCCAGGTGGATTTGGAAGATCTCCAGAGAAGGAGACTCTA